CTTGATGGTAGAACAGATTTCAAGGAACTCATCAAGTTGCTTATAGGGGTCTTCATTTTCAAAGCCATGAAAGGATGGAAGCATTTGAATTGTACTAAATTTGATCTCATATTGGGCTGCCTCGATGTTTGGTATCACTATGCAAGAAGGAGAGGTATAAGTTGTGGGGATGAAATGGTCCCTAAGAGTCATAGGTACAACATTTGGAATTTCAGCCCTATTATTATTAATTCCCTCATTCCCAACATTTTCTTCATTTCCGGCCATTATATTAAATTCAAGTTCAATTCCTCTTATGCTTGCAGATTCCCTAAGGTTTCTTCTAAGAGTCCTTTCAAGCGAATCTATGTCAATAGGAGATTCAAGAGTTGGCAAAGATAATGGCCTTCGGCTAAACATCAACAACACACTTCATAACCAACACAACAATTCATCACCATAACCTCCACATACGATGTTCCATTTCTCCTCAATTATCAACATGACAGAAAATAAATGGCCACGATAAGAACCGATGCTTTGTAAAACAGTAAAGCAGGAATAGCCTCAACAAGGGCTTCATAATCAAATATCTCTAATTTTAACCACATGCAAGATATTCACAACTTTGAAACTAGTACTTCGAAAAACTTACCTGAAGTCCACTAGACTTATGATATTTTCAGTTTTTCCTCCGGCAAGCCTTGAATCCCTAGAATCTTAATAGAAACTTAAAACACAATGTCACTAAAACTAACAAGAAAAATATTCACAAGACACAATATTCACAATCAAACCAAAGTTAATCTTTGAACCTCAATTACAAAACCGTTAACAATTCCCCGGCAACGGCGCCAAAATTTGATAGGTCTCGTCGACTATCTCAATTTATAATCAACCATTTGCAATAGCACAAATCATTGTAAAATAAGGCTATTGTTCGGGTAAGTCGAACCACTGGGATTGCTAGTTTATTGCAACCAAAGTCATTAAGACCACTTAATTTGATGAAGGGGGTGTAGAGATTTTGGTTGGTTTGTCACTAGGTGACTTGGAATTAAAATGTGCATAAACAATAAATTGAAGGAAATTAAAAAGAGAGGAAAAATATGTAGAGAGGACTAGGGAAGTGAATCAACTACCAACCCTATACACATGCTAGATTATGATTAATTTGGAAAATAAATTAGATATATGGCAATGATGTGTAGCAATTCAAGATTACTACACTATCTTCAAGAATTTCATAGAATTAAGAGTCAAGAATAATCCTTCAAAGTTCCACATGCTTGACTACCTAAATTAGAGTGTAACTTTACATATTCACTAAGTTAGGGACTATCAAACCCCTCAATAACTATGGTGTTAGCACATGGAGCCAAGAATCAAGAAAAGTCCATCAAAGGGGGACCCTAAGCCATGGACTACAAGGTTCTCAAACAACATGCCAATAAACCTATTTCATAATCTTATTTTCATTGTCACTATGAAAATGCAAGCAATATGACCATGAAAACATACATTTTAAGACAAGATAATAGATTTAACATGATCATTTATAGACATTGAAATCCATTACATCATGTAAAGTGCTCTAGATTATGAAACTACCATATATATACATCATTCTCCAAATTAAAATCAAAACTAAGGCATGCTTACAAGGTAGGGCTTCATCACCTCCCTAGAAAGGGAGTTAGTTACCCATAGAAGCAATGGAGGAAGGAGTTGAGATGATCTTCCCTTCCATTTTCCCAGCTAGGAGCCAACACACACACAACCCTCAAGAACCAAATATTTCTCTTTCTAGAATTATCCTTAAAATTTTAGATATGTCTATTGCATTGAATCAAGTCCTTAATAATCAACCATAGCCATCCAACAACTCTATTTTCGTGGTCCAAAACTCCCAGACAAGTGCAGAGCAATCCACTCAATTAAAGGGATAACATTAGGTGAGAAAAAGAAGCCCATGCTTTGATGTCTACAGAATGGCGGTCACCCGCAAAGTAGGGCGAGCGCTCGCGCAGTGTCATGGAGGTGCATTGGCGGGGGCCTGTAGTGCATTGCAAGCCCTACAAATCTCAAAACTCTGTGGACCATTTGGCGGGCGCCCACAATACTCCTGAGTACTGCACCAATTTGCTTCATAATCTGATCTTTGCTCGGCCCGATGACGCGATCATCCTTCTTAGTGCCTTTTGCATAGAGCGCCATGAGTTCCATGGATCATTAACTTGGCCAAATCGAAGGTCCTCGGCAACGGCATACTTTAATCTTCAAAAACTCATCAAAGCATCTCTTTTAACTCTCTTTGGGGAACCAACCTGAAAATAAACAAAAGCACGCAAATGAAGCTAATATGTACAATACGATCAACTAATGGACTTAACTAATGCAAATAAGGGCGCTTGAATATGCAATATTCGGCACTGATCAAGGAGATAAGGTTTTTAATCTAAAACCTTAAGGCAAGTTCTTCTTCTAACTCTTCTCCTTTGACTATGTGTTCAATACATGCCTAGGTCAATTCTATGATAATTAAACAATAAAAATGACTATGTTTGCATGCTTAATCGGATCTAAAATAGGGAGTATGTTTATGTATGTGTAGTTGTTTGATTTTGAATCTAGATGCATGATTACTTGTTTTAATTCGGTCTAATAATGCATAAAGGCTTTAAATAAATATTTGGGATCATTTGCGATCCTTAAGCAGAAATCGCCGGAGCCGGAAAAGACAAAGGGCCACAAGAACCCGTCAACCGGTTTATGTAAACCGGTCGATGTAACCAGTTTGTGCAAATCGATGGACACCTACAGGAAAACAGTCGACTGGTTTGGCCCAGTGCAGGGTTTTCATGCCTAGGATGTGTTCGGGTTTATTTTAATAATTTTAAAGGACTGTAATTGACTCGATAAAGGACTGAAATGTATAATATACCTTAATATGCTAAGGTTTAGACATTATGAAATTTTAAATAACTCTTAAGTTGTTTAATGGATGATTTTATTGTTTTAAATTGTTTAAACAATTAAATGGATATTTAAAGGGGAGGTTTATACAATTTAATTGAGACATTAAATATTCATGATTAGAAACAAAAAGAGAAAATCTGAAAGGATAATTGTGTTATTTAAATAATAATTAGGTGATATTAAGGATATTAAGGTGATATTAATTAGGTAATAATTATTATTTACTTATAAATTTAAGGATAGAATTGTTATTTATTTTAAAATTAGAGTACAAACGTATAAAAATAATGTGCAAATATCACCTCTCTTTTTATATTTTTCCTATTTCTCAACATAGTTACTAAACTTACTACTAAATTGTTATACAACAATTCTAATTATTATTTACTTATAAATTTAAGGATAGAATTGTTATTTATTTTAAAATTAGAGTACAAACGTATAAAAATAATGTGCAAATATCACCTCTCTTTTTATATTTTTCCTATTTCTCAACAGAGTTACTAAACTTACTACTAAATTGTTATACAACAATTCTATTATTTACTTATAAATTTAAGGATAGAATTGTTATTTATTTTAAAATTAGAGTACAAACAGATAAAAATAAGGTGCAAATATCACCTCTCTTTTTATATTTTTCCTATTTCTCAACAGAGTTACTAAACTTACTACTAAATTGTTATACAACCATAAAATTTAGTCACGTGGATATTATGCTATTAGGAGAAAAATAAATGTCTTAAAGATCATGTGAGACAGAGAGATACATCTCCGCTCAAAATGCACATATAGCAATAATAATAATAATAATAAAATAAATAAATGATAGTTGGTGTTTTCGAAATGAGAAATTCAATTCTTGGGTGTTTTATGTTGCTTTCCATGGTTCCACCACACTGACGTTACAAAAATGATACTTCTTGGATGCTTTAAGTTGGAGGCCAACAATCCAGCAGCAATCACGGGTCTTACATTTTTGGTAGCTTTTCTTTCTTGGAGGCATCTGACGATTTCCACCACGGATCACGTGCCTCAAACGCTCACGGCCACTTAAAAATATAAGAAAGACATCACAAAACGGAGTTGTACCAAAACATTTGACTTTCTGAAAAGAATTGATCTAAATTATGATAATATTGAGGACGGTTACAAATGATGTTAACTCATTAACCCAACTTTTAACAAAAATATATATATATAGGAGCTAATATTATCGCTTTATAAATTTCCAAACGAATCTTTTTATTCATCTATATTGAGTTCTCCTCATTGAACAAAAAAGTATTAACCAAAAAATACATAACGAACAAAAAAGTATTAACCAAAAAATACATAACGAACAAAAAAGTATTACATATCGTGAACTGACTACTTGTATACTAGATACATATTGCTCATAAAAAAAATATCAAATACTCGTATACCAGATGCATATCGCTTATAAAATAAGTATCAAACATTCCAATTATATAATTTGTGGATTTGTAAATTTCCAAGGCCATGATTTCCAAATATACAGAATTATTTCATGATTTATTTGACTTTTTCTTTTATTTTATGTATATTAAATTTTTAAGAGAAAAGAGTCCCTGTCTCATTAAATTTCTCAACAGAGTTGTAACATAAAGGAGAACAGAAGTTCATCAAATAGAGTTGTAAGATTAAAGGAGAGAAGATGGATTAACCATTAAATAAAATAAAATAAAATAAGAAGTAGAGAAGAGAAGGAAGCACAATACAAGGGAAAGAAGGACAGTTAATTTAATTATTTTTGTTAATTAAAATAAAGAGTTGGAGTGTTAAAGAAAATTTATGGAGCGTTAATATCACTTCCCATATTATATATATATATATATCTTCTATTATTAGAGTGTGGGTTCCATTAATTTTTTGGGGGGTTCCACCGAACTAACGTGGCATCCAACTGGTAAGAAACCAACGTACATAATAATACAGTATAAATAAATAAATAAATAAGCAAATCTTATATTTATGGTGCAATATACTTTACTAGTGGTAGCTTGACTTGACAGTTGACTCTTTGTAACAAGAAAACATAATATTGGAGAGACTCTTCAGTCTTCACAACTATTCTCCCTCGCACCCTCTTTCTCAGCTTCTCTTCTAACTGCAGCAGAAAATAAAATGACTGAAACCTTGATCTCAGCTTCCCTTCAACTGCTGTTTGACCGCATCGCCTCTCAAGACTTCATAAACTTGTTGTCAGGCCGAAATGACGGTGATAGACTCCTAAAGAAGCTGAAGGCAACCTTGGGAGCCCTTGAAGCAGTGGTCAATGATGCGGAGGACAAGCAGTTCACTAGCCGAGCGGTGAAGGATTGGCTTGACGAGCTCAAAGATTCTGTGTACCATGCTGATGACTTACTAGATGAGATCGCCACCGAGGCCTTGCAAAGCAAGTTGAAGGCAGCGGAGTCATCAAAGGGCAGCAGGAATCAGGTACGGCACATTGTCTCCAAGCTTGCTTCTCCATTTCATGAAGGGATAGAGTCTAGGTTGGAGGAGATCATTGATACCCTGGATGATTTTGTCAAACAAAAAGACATCCTTGGTTTGAAAGGCGATGTTGAAAGGAAACATTCGCAAAGACAACAAACAACTTCTCTAGTAGATGAAATTGGTGTTGTGTACGGTAGGGATGATGACATAGAGAAGATAATTAATTTGTTGTTGTCTGATGAAGTAGTCACTAGCAATGATCATGAGATCCCTGTCATACCCATTGTGGGAATGGGTGGGGTGGGCAAGACAACCCTCGCCCAAGTTGCATACAATGATGCTAGGGTGATTCAGAGTTTTAAAATTAAAGCATGGGTTTGTGTTTCTGATGAATTTGATGTTTCTATGGTAACAAAGAAAATTGTTGAGGCTGTCACCGCATCAAGCAGTGACACCGGTGACTTAAATTTACTTCAAATCAAGTTAAAAGAACGTTTAAAGGGGAACAGATTTTTACTCGTTTTGGACGATGTTTGGAATGAGAATTACAATGATTGGGACCTGTTGAGAAGACCCTTTAGCACTGGGGAACGGGGAAGTAGGATCATCGTAACAACACGCCATGAGAATGTTGCAAGAGTCATGTGCAGTGTTCCTAGTCATCACTTAGACCAACTTTCGTTTAAGGATAGTTGGTCATTATTTGCTAAGCATGCAATTCAGAATGGATATTTTACTACCCATCCAGACTTGGAGATGATTGGTAAAGAAATTGTGGTCAGGTGTAAAGGCTTGCCTTTAGCAGTAAAATCACTCGGAGGTCTCTTGCGATCTAAACTGGATATTGAGGAATGGAAAAATATCTTAGAAAGTGAGATGTGGCATACGCAGAGTAATATTCTTCCAGCTCTAAGATTGAGTTATCATTATCTCCCTTCACATTTAAAGCGATGCTTTGCATATTGTTCAATTTTTCTTAAAGATCACAAATTTGAAAAGGAAAAGTTAGTCCAGTTATGGATAGCAGAAGGCTTTGTGCTGCGACATCCTAAAGGCAATAAATCATTGGAAGATGAAGGTTTCAACTACTTCTCGGAACTGTTATCAAGGTCATTTTTTCAGCAATTAAGTGGCACCAGTTCCTTCTTTGTAATGCATGACTTGATCCATGATTTAGCTGAATTTATATCCGGAGAGTTTTGTTTTAGGTTAGAGGATGATCATGACAAGGTACGTGATCTCTCTAAAAAGGTCCGTCATTTCTCAGTTGTTCAAGGTAAATATGATACAATTGAGAAATTAAATGTTGTCAACAAGGCTAAGTATGTACGGACTTTCATATCATTTTCGCAATGGAAAGGAAATTTCCTAAGCAAAAAGGTCTTGCACGATATCCTGCCAAGCTTGAGATGCTTAAGGGTGTTATGTTTACGTGGTTATGAGATTTTCGAATTGCCTCAAACAATTGACAAGTTGATACATTTACGCCATATGGATCTCTCCAACACAAGACTGAAACGGTTACCTGATTTAATTTCAACCTTGTGCAATCTACAAACATTGAATTTGTCAGGTTGTGGAGATCTCATCGAGTTGCCTACGGATATTGGGAAGCTAATTAACTTGCTTCATCTGAATGTTGCTTTTACTAAGCTAACAAAGTTGCCTGCAGGTATGAGAGAATTAATTAACTTGCACTCTCTTGATACTAGGGGAACTACTTTAACAGAAATGCCAATGCAGATGAGCAGGCTTGTAGGTCTCCGACATTTAACATATTTTGTAGTCGGTAGGGACAGTGGGTCAAGGATCAGTGAGTTGAGGGCACTTTATCATCTTCATGGGGAACTCTCCATTTCTGAGCTGCAAAATGTGGTCAATTGTAGGGATGCACTGGAGGCCAATTTCAAGGATAAGAAGCACCTTGAAGGGTTAAAATTGGAATGGAGTGGAAATACTCGTGCTTCACAAAATGAAAGTGATGTACTTGACAACCTAAAACCTCATACAAACTTGAAGTATGTTACGATCAAAGGCTTTGGAGGCAGAAGACTTCCAGGTTGGTTAGGAGATTTTTGCTTCTCTAATATAGTGCGTTTACATCTTTCTAATTGTGAGTATTGTGTCTGCTTGCCACCACTTGGGCGGCTATTGTCTCTAAAACACCTTTCTGTTCATGGGATGAAAGAAGTAAGGAAGGTGGGTGAGGAGTTTTATGGGAATGCTTCTTTGTTCAAACCATTTCAATCTTTGGAGACACTACACTTCGAGAATATGGCAAAATGGGAAGAATGGCGCCATGTATTAGGGGCTGATGAGTTTTTGTGCCTACTAGAGCTTTCTCTATTCCGGTGTCCCAAGTTGCGCGGGGAATTACCCAACAACATTCCATGTTTACGGACGCTCAGAATTTCTGAATGCCAACAACTAGAGTCTAATGGAGTTGGGTTGCAGCTACAACACCTCTCTTCCTTAAGGCAATTGAAAATTTCAGATATGTCAAACTTAAGGCAATTGTCGTCGGAGCTGCAAAACCTGTGTTCTCTTCAAGAATTGGAGATTTCAAACATGATGCAATTGCCTTCGGAGTTGAACCAGCTGCATTCCCTGAAGAAATTGACGATTTCAAAGATGCCGAACCTGGAGGAACTGCCGTTGGAGCTGTGGAGATTAATAAATCTGGAAAAATTGCAGATAGAACAATGCTCAAGCCTTGTGTCATTTCCGGACTTTACATTGCTGCCGATTCTCAAGACTTTGGAGATCAAAAACTGTTACGCTGTACAGTCCCTACCCCTGGAAATGATGCGCTTCAACAGTTGCCTTCAAGATTTATCCATAATCGGTTGTTCATCTCTTGTCTCTTTCCCGGTTGGTAAATTGAAAAATATTTACATCTCTGATTGCGAGAAATTGGAGTTTCCCATGCATAATGAAATGGAACCGTGCTCCACATCCTTTGAACGTTTGCATATATCCAATAGTTGTAATTCTCTAGAAACTTTGCCATTGCGTTTCTTCCCCAAGCTTCTTTCTCTCAATATCTCGAGCTGCCATACAATGGTATCGTTTCCCCATGGAGGATTATCTGCTCCAAATCTGAAGTTTCTTACAGTCGAATTTTGCAGGAAGCTCAAGTCCTTGCCGCAACGAATGAACACCAAACTTCAGTCTCTTCAATCTTTGAAGATAAGGGACTGTCCAGAGGTTGAAGCCTTTCCGGATGGAGGCTTGCCTTCCAACCTACGTGAACTTGAGATCGAAAATTGTGAGAAACTCATGAAGCGCCGCGTGGAGTGGGGTTTGCACAGACTCCCGTGTCTTGAACTGTTCACGACCAACGGTGAATACAGAGAAGAAGTGTTGGAGTCATTTCCGGAGGAGGGGCTATTTCCCGCCACTCTTAGCTCTCTTTACGTCTGGTTTCTTCCAAATCTGAAAGCACTGAACTACAAGGGCCTTCAACGTCTCACCTCTCTTACAAGTCTACACATCTGGAGCTGCCCTAAGGTCCAGTGCTTGCCAGAAGAGTGGTTACCCAACTCCCTCTCTTTCCTGCACATACGCAACTGTCCATTGCTGAAACAACGTTACCAGGGGCAGAAAGGGAAATATTTGTCCAAGATTGCTAAAATCCGCCACATAAAGCTCGATAATGAAGACATCTTGAACTTTTGACAGAAACTCATGCTCACATTGGATCCTTCTGGTTTTTATTCACGCTGGGAAAACCCCAAATTCCAGTCAGGTACTTGTTTTACAAGTTTCAACTGTTTTTCACCATATACCACTTCATGAGTTTATCTATTTGCCACTGGTGTTTTTCTTAATTTATCAATTCATAAACTATCTCTACTTATCAACTCTCTTGTGGTACTACATCCTTGTCAATCTCATAACCCTCTCTTATAACCTATGTACTTATTTATAAAGTTTCAAATCCAATTCTTTGTTGTACAATGATTACAATTCTTTCGAGCACAAGACTTGTTTAGCAATAAATTTTCTAACCAAATACAACTCTAAAATAGAAACCAGAATAGATTAAGAATTTAAGACGCAATTCTCAACAATCTTCACCTTGACCCAAATTCCATCAATCGACTCCCACGACATTGATTAGGACAATTCCGCGTATCAATCTTGCATACAAACCGAAACACTCTTTAGGGACTTCCACCCACAGATCGTTGCTGCGACCCAGTCTGATTTAGAAACTTTTATCCAAGGAGTCAGTTCCCCCTTACTCTTCAGTTGCATGCCAAGATGTCACGATCCTCTTGCAAAATTGTTATTGTCCAAAGATACATTGTATCTCCACATATATTGGAAAGATAACGTCTTAATTAATGTTTATTCTCAAAGTATAATGTCGCTTCTGACAAATTTGTCATCAACAACATACTTAATAAGCTTGGTTTAGTTTCAAAGACTACTATAGCCAACCAATATCATCATCTCTTGCATCAAAGTATCCTTTGCCTATGTTTCGGTTCTCAGATACAATAAGGGAAATGAGAGACAAATGTAGAAGGAAAGGAAAAAGAAATCCATTGCGATAGTTTTTATATTTTTAAAGACTTCATGGTATTTTCCCATTGTTGTTGGCAGAGGAGCTAGCAACATTAATCTCCGATGAGTCATATTTGCAGTAGAGATGGTCGAACATTTCGTTTGAGCAATTCTGATCATTCTGACATAGAGAGATCTATTTCTTTGTTGTGAATTTGATAGCAAGATCCATGAACTTTTCTCTCGATTTCTCTTACATGACCTCTTAACAACATGTTGCAATTCTAGTTTGCACAAGTTAGTTACTTCTATTTATTTAATTAACTTCTCCACATATTTATGAATTTTGACATTTTTTGATAGCATCATGGTTGTCAATAACAGACTTAATTCCTAAGCTATGTGACAAGCATTCGTGTGCTCTCTTTTTTAGCAGGCAAAGAAATCCATGATGTTGAATTAGTTGCACTATACATGCATGCTGGAAAGGAACCAAAACAAGATTCATGTGCCCTTTCAGCTCACATAGACCTGGGCTTGACCTGAACTAAGATAGGGTAGGGTAATATTGACTACAATATGCTCAAAACACACACAAACTTCCAGTTGAATCATGTTTGAACTACAATGTGCCCAAGTAGCTTAGATTAATTTCATTTTTTTTTTTTCAGTCCCTGTTTGGTTGATTGCCAAAAAGACACTTGTGTGATTGTAAATGCTTCATATATGGATTTTTTGGTCGTCATAATAGAATATCACGTGTTGAATTGGATAAGGACACGTGTGTGATCAGACACACAATGTATTGTAAGTGGGTGATTTTTTTTTTTTTTTTTTTTTTTTTTAGTATTATATATCAGTAATTTTTCCTTTTTTGAATTATATATACTTATAAAATTTTAAAGTTGGATCCCTTAAAATAAATAAAAAAAACTTACTTTTGCCCTCTCACACAATTTTCGAGGTCGTACCTATGTGTATGGTTCATTGAATTTTCATATGATTTTCTAATTTGGTTGGGAGATTTTTGGAGCAATTATAAGTCTAAGAAGTAAGACATGATTTTGTATTACAGCTTCTCTTTGGAAGGTCTGTGTCCTGTTTAAGAGCAATGCCATTCATAAATAAGAAGTAGACCTCCTGCCAACGAATATAATTGATTGGTATCTTTTTAAAAGTGAAAGACTGAAGGTTAGACTTCCGAGTCCTTGTAAAGACGGAAGTATAAAAAGCAAATTAGTAAATCAATTCAAATAGAAATTGGTCAATACTATATTATATGTATAGAATTCACATGATATTATCAATGTCTGCTATTCTGATCCAAGTTTAATGATAAATCCAAGTTTTTCACCTACAAACTATTTATACGATCCTATAATTTCTTATATAGCCGAAGATTTATGCCAACAGGATACAAATGTAATGTGGCTATGGAACCAATTTGCAAGGCTAAGCAAGAACGAAAGCTAGGATATACAAATGAGCACCGATGAATTCAATGGCGATGCCAACTATATCAACACTGGTTTTTGCTATGTGAGACCAAACAATAGGACCATCTCATTGTTTCAGACATGGTATGACTTGAAGGACAACTCTTCCGGCATGAAAGAGCAAGATGTTTTAGGTAGCACAATGTTTGAAATTTTCGACTGACATTAAGAGATGCTTTTGCAGAGGACATACGGATGTGATTGGATTCTGATCCATCTTCGAAAAACTGTCGCAGAATCACAAAATAGTGGCCTCATGCACAGCTGTGCTGAAGAGATTCTTGTGGAATAAAAGGAGTACATATCTTCGGTAGGTCATATATCTAGTAGATATATTTGATCACAAACATATCAATTAGAAGATAATCAATCATTGTCACATTTCTGTGCCCTATACTTCATTGTCCTTGTGAATTTGAGAGCAAGATTTTTGAATCTCTCCCTCAATTTCACTTGCATGAGCCACTTAGGCACATGCTTAAGTTCTTACTAGCAAGATTTTTAGTTATTTTATTTATTTGATGGCAATTAGTTCAGAATTTGTAGGGATCAGTAGTTTGGCTTCAATTGATAATTCTAATCGAGTATATTTTAGATCTGATTTTTCAAATATTATATTTATGACATATATGAACGCTTATGCATAGGGGACATACAGACGCGTGGATAATAGCGTTGGATAGCTGAGATATTATTACAAAATCGTGGCCTTTCAGCAACAAAATAACAATGTCTTGGCCTCCTGCACTGCTTGGAGTATCTTATGCCTCATCTCTTACTGTTTCAACATCAGCAACCATGAGAATTCAATGTAAAGCATACATATGGTTTACGAGTTTATTGTAATTCTTCTTGTAAATTAAATTGTTTTGTATGTTTTAATCATAGTCAAGGGATACAAAGGTTGTATTCAGAACTAGTCTGTTGTTTTATTTGAAGACAATGGCTTCAAAAGAGCTGGCATTCCTTTAAACGTTTGGTTCTGTTAGTAAATTAGTACAAATGTTTCAGTTATTATGAATCAAGGTTTTACATTTCCCACCATGAAGTTAGAAGATGAATGACATGTTTGTTGAGTCCATTTCGTGTTCCATGGTGGTGATGTTTATTCCATTAGTTTGACTTACGGATATAAATATGGCTGTTATGTTTCCCAAAAAGATTTTACTTTTCATGAATTTCTCAAAAGAGGGCTCCTGGGAAAAAAAAGCAGCCACTGCAAAGCATTTTTGGATCTTTTGCACAAACACAGGAAAATCTTTATGGGCTGAATGGAAGAAATGCTACTCTATATCTTAAAGGATCAAAGTATATAGAGCTGCAATGTGAAGAATAATGGTCTTCGTGCTGCAAAAAGATCATCAGAATGAGAGACGGAATGAAAAGCTACACTAAGGCAACCTATTGGTAATGGGGACGACACCTACTTTTGGTTTGATCCTTGGCACCCTAATGGAATTATTGTTGTGTGAAATTGAAGAAAATTACAAAGATTATTTGAAAAGAAAACAATGTCATGAGAAAGTGGCTGGAAAATGTGCAAAGGTATGCTCGTGGTGCAGAAAAGATGCTGCTAGTTTGATGCTAGTCTTAAGAATTAATAGTCCGCCCCAAAGTTGAGGTTTCTTTGTCATGAGTCATGCAATGAATGCAATCCCGACTCCAACCCAAACTCACGCAACCCAAACCGAAAAACCGCTAATCAACTTTACCAAGGTGAAATTGACTAACTATCCCTGGCCTCAAAACCGACGATCATTTGGGGCCTAGTTAGTTCAACTATACACGTCCAAATCCGGCACGTGCTCCCTCTAAATTGAATTAGCCAACGGATCGTGACTTCCAGCCCTCCCTTTCTTAAAAAGCTTTTCCTCAAACTTTTGGAAATTCAATTTCATCCTTAACCCACCGAACCAATCCCAACACCATGTCAATGCCATGTCTAAATTGAATTTTTTCATCATTCCATTTACAAGTGAATAACTATCACAATTCTAATAAACATATTTTTTCCCCCAAACTAGCATACACATTTTTATTTTTTTTTTCCTAATTGATACTCACACACACATGTCTCTTACGAGATTTGAACCCCTGACCTCCCTTTAAAAAATAAGAAGCTGATACCGCTAGGCCCTTTGGTAACTAGCATACACATTAGTTGAAGCATTTTATCAAACAAGAAATGAACGTGATAAGAATAACCATAATAGATCATCAATGGCATGGTTTTGCATGATAATTGTCAAGTAAAGTATACAAACCTCTATATACAACTACAATGATCATAAATACATTTCTAATCCAACATGTCAACACATAAGGAAGTAATTAGACAAGTAAACATCAAAACCTACATTCTTACAATTTAGTAATTTGTAATGTTACCAAATTTTCCTATTTTCTTTTTTCCTGGAATTTATTTGATTTTTCTGGATTATTTCAATCATTGCCTCGTTTTGCATGTCACACGGGTCCCGAGAGTCATTTTGGTCATTTCCTTGAGTCGAGGGTTTTGAAAGAAAAAAATTTAATCATTTTAAGTCAATTGGAAGTGACGGTATCATTTTTAGAATTTTTCGGAAGCTCGGACGATTTCCGGACTCGGAAACTTATCCCAGTTTTCTCATTTAAGTGGAGGGCATTGTGGTCTTTTTACACATTTATGCATACACCTATATCCTTACATTGTAGAAGATATTTATTGGGACATAGAGGAAGTTTCAATGGTTATAGATGGGCGAAAGAGTAATTAACCATAAAGTGTAATTCATTCACATGGTGACAAGTGACAAGTTATTGATCACGAGGTCAATTGTTGACCAAACTATTTCCTCTATTCTTTCCATCACCCGGCAGAATACTCCCTTTCTCTCTAACCCTTCACTTCCTCAATCTATATCCATCTTTATGCACTAAATGTCTTCCACATTTTAAGCTTGTTTTTAGAGTGATTAAAGTGAGATTTTTATGAAGCTATAGCTGAGGAAATTGATGAGTTGAGGAGAGATTTTAATTAAGACCAATCTTGCAAGGGGCTGGGAATTTCGAATTTGGGGGCTGTTTTGAAGATCTTGCTTGGTTGAGGTAGGGGTTGTCCTAAACCTCAATTTCCTTTGTTTCTTGTGAATTGTCTTTCTTTAAATTGAACCATTAAGTGACTAGAATTGAAGTTGGTTTACAAGTATGTTATGTAGTTGAAATCTGAAAATTTTAGCTTACATAGTAACGATGTGTTATGTGCTTTAAATGTTGAAATTGAGTCCCCCTAATTGTTAATTATGTTTTGTGTACAAAAATTGAAATTTTGTAATCATGATGGTGGTATTGTTGTTGCTACAAAACTAAAATTCTGTAATCATGATGGTGGCATTGTTGTTGCTGCAAAAACTGAAATTTTCATGTTCAATGTACCTCAATTTTGGGACTGTTTTGTTGTGAATATTCTTATGGCCATATGTGCTTAAATGCTGAAATTTTTAACTTCTATCTAAATGTTACATAGTGTGCTTTAACTAGAATTGAAGTTGCTACAAAACCCATATGCATTACATTGGGTACCACATGGGGCAAAACAGATTTTTGTTAAAATGGAGGATGTTATGTTTTGAAAAGAAAGCAAACTGGTTTTTTTTTTTTTAGAAAATGATTAAGGCGTTGGATGAAATTTTGAAAGTGGGGAGAGACATTGGCACCTCATTAGCATTGCATTCCATTACAATCATGAGATTGCATTATGTGACGATTATTACTTTCCGAACATGCATGACCCATTTTCTTGTCGCTATTCTTTGTTTGGATTCACGGAGGCATTAAGGAGTGCGTTTTAGGCATCTTCTACTGAGCTGTTGTGCTCACTCCTTACTACTATTTTTCAGGATGCAGAAAGTAAGTGGCGAAAGACATTCCCCCATAGGCTTAGACAGGACTTGACAGACTTTCTTGTGTTAATTTTCTGTTGTATATACAAGTTTTGTAAAATTTTAAACTTATTGTGTATCTCTTTTGTAAGCTTATGTTTAGGGACTGTAGTCGGATGTAATGTTTGTAAATGAACTTTAGGTTTTTTTGTCTATGTGTGTGATCATGATATTACCATTATAAATGCATGTGGCGACTGTTGTGGGACAAGGTTAGCCTTTAGTATGGCTTACAATTGAGTTTGGAAATTATAGGACTTTAGTGACTTAGAATCCGTGTAATTTCATGTAACGACCCGGTCATTTGCCTTCCTTTCCTTTTTCCTGAAATTTTACGAATGAATTTTTTTCGTTTAAATTTCTTTTCTGAGCTCTGTTTCGTGTCGCTTAATGTCATCTCGAGTGCTCAGAATTGGTTCCTGAGACTCTTTTCCATGGATTGACAACTTCTTTTGAGGACTGAGTCATTTTCACATTTTTCGTTTTTCGACACTATGCATTATTTCGTCCTTTTCCCTATTCTGTCTTATCTCTGTTTGTCAGTTTTTGGCACAACCTCACTTCTCATGCTCGGAGTTGGTTTTTGACTTCACGTGTCTTCATCTTGAGTGGCTTCCACGAAATACGTATCTTTACTTTTGTAAGAAAGTACTTTGGTTGCTTCCGGTGTCCATAGGGGCATGGATGCAAAGTTCTTTGAAATTATTTTCTTTTCTTGGGGTGTTTTTCATAAATATCTTTTGAAGATATTTTATTTCAGGGGTTTTTAAGAAAATATTTTTGGAAGATATTTTTATTCTGAGCCATAAGTGCAGTTTTCACTTTTTGGAGGGGCCATTATGCAATTAATGAAAGTTATTGCAAAATGTCTTGTTTTGAGCCTGGATCTTCGTACGGGATTCATTTTCACATTTCGTAGAGTTGTGTACTCTTGGAATTTCCTCCTGGTCGATGTTTTCCAGTTTCAGGGTTTCTGGCCCCAGTTTGTGCCAAACTTGTTTTGGGTATAACTTTCTTCTCGGGACTCAGTTTTCAACACCGTTTCTTCCGTTGCTCATATTTTATCATTTTGAATCTTTTTCGTTCACAAAGTTTTGCCATTTGAGCGCGTCTGCTCAAATTTTACTTTTTCGGACCCGGCGGGGCCCGTTCGGGGCACTTTTTGGGATTTCTATAAAAGCGGGGTGAGATATTTCATTTTTCATCTTCTCCCCTCTTCATGCACGACCTGGAGCTCCCATGGTAGCCCAAGGGGTGCTGCCATCTTCTCTCTCCTCTTTTGGTTCACTTTTCCTTGATGGAAAGTCTTCGGCCTTAACGTTTGTTGTTCCCCTCGCCGTGCTCTACCTTTCCCCCTTATTAGAATTCAGTTTTGACCATTTCTTGAGTTTGGTTTTGAGGTCAAGTTATGATTTTGATGGGACTTTCATGGGGGTTATGTTCACGGCGTTGTCCCTAACAAAACCTAGTAGTTTCGTCGGATTCGGAGCCGTTCCATTTTGGTGGGCCTTTGGGATTTTCATCTCAAATTGAGGTAGGAGATGTTCTAGGTTTAAAATTTTGTTATATAGCATGCTTGTGATGCTTATACTACTTGTTTGCATGATTAAATATAAAATCTAGAGATTTTATTATTTATTTTTCTTGTACGGGATCTAATTTTCCTGGTTGCTCATAACTTGGTTTAAACATGTAGCATAATTTTATATTGCCCCTTGATATGCTCATTGTCGTGTATTAAAATTGGAACATTTGAATAAGTATTAAAGATTTTATTTAATATTTATCTTAGGTGAAAGATTAATTCACATGGCCTTAACTAACTTGAAATTAATATGTATTAGCATATTATATTAGGCCTTAGCATGC